AAACTATTTTTATTAAACTATATATATATATATTATTTTTTTTATTTATTTCTAACATAAATATTAAAACAAGTAAACTGCAAAATATATGAATCTAGTAAATTGCAAATATGTAAATTGTAGAAGATAAATAAATTTTCGACCCGAGACCTGTACGAGCAAGTTTCCTTAAAACAGATTCGCCTCCTCACCGTAAGTGCTTAAGGTCTAATCTGAGCGTCTGTTTTTCAAAATACAACGGTAAAACCTGTAGTCTCTGAGCACCACAAAAACTACTTCGACGAACTGATACAGCGCCTGAACAATATCACCACGACCTTACTTGACAAATATGTGTATGCAGGAAGAACTACTGAAAAGATACAGATACAGAGAGGAAGAGGACGGATTTTTCATCTGTATAAATTGCTGGAAACTGAGTTTAATTATATAGACTTTATTTGTCCATTAACCATTAAAGTTATATCAGTTTCTGGAGTTTCAGAAACTCAAAAGTCAGTGAAGAAAGCAAGAAAAAAATTGCAAAACGTGAGCTCTCCAAATGGACCAATTTTTAGCCGTCTCAATCGAATACAAAGGTCGTGTATTTTATACCACAACTGGGTTCTACTTTAAATTGATTCCAAGCATTAAAATCGAGAACTAGTCCATTTTCTTTCGATTTGGTCTGGTACTCGATACCATTTCAACATGATTTTTTTTATAAAGATATTGTGAAAGAAGGTATCCAAATTGGATTGAGCGTGTGAATTTTCTCAACATTCTATTTTCCTTGAACGAAAGAACAAATTTAAGCCTTGCAGCAACATTGAAGTCGGTAAAAACAAAAACAAAAAAATAAATGGAGATTTTACCAAAATAGAGGCTATAAATTCAATTCCAGATGCAAAATTTATTGCATTTTTGTTGTTTTAATTTTTTAAACTTTTTATTGTTGAACCGGAACCAATCAGTTTTGATTCGAGTCAGTTCTAGTATTTAATGAAACCTCTATTTTTTGTTTCTTGAAAACACACTAAAGAGTCATATTCTTTTAAAGAGGAGATAACCAAGAAGAGAGTAGCTTCCCGAGCTCTAGTGACTCGTGACATTTATTAAAACCTTGAACTAGTATAATCGTAATTAAATTGTTCGTAATGGTACTAAAATTAATTTGAAACAAAATCTTTAAGATGTCAGGGACCAGTTACGAAACTAAATAATAATAATAATAATAATTTACTTTCGTAAAACTGGAATTTTTACCTTTGGACTCTCTGAAAAAATCCGTTTGGCAAACAAATTAAGTTCAAAATTTATGAAATTTGAACTGTAAGCATATTATACATTGGAGAAATACATATTGAGATTTCGTATGAAAATTCAATCAGTAGGTGGGTCAAAATGATTTTTAAATTCGTAATGTATCTTTGATATATTTCGATAGCCCTAAGGAAAGCATCAATAACTTAGTTTTAGACTCCCAAAATCCATGATTTCAAATTCGAGAGATATATAACCCATATGATAACCTTCTTCAACTTGAATCACTTCAAAATTCCAAGTATTTTGATCAAGGTGAATTTTTATATGCAGGAGCAGAAACTGAAACTTTTTAAACATTTTATTATTAGTTAGGGGTTGGGTGTTTCTATAAAACAATCAATAAACTCATACGCACGCTATATCAAATCATATCATAATGTAAGCATATATTCTAAGCATATCGATGATAAGGCAATACCAACATCCATTGCACTAATAAACCACCAATTTCACATATCTGGTGCACCACTATGCCATAGGTTCACAATGTAACCCCATAATAAGTCACATATAGCATATAGAGAAGCCATTAATCACAATTGTAAATACTCAACAAACATTAATTGAAATAATACGGAGACATGAGCTTACTTCTTTTGAAATAACTCTTATGATTTGAGCACTGTGTGTGTGAGCTTCTAAAGCATGAATTTTATCTACGCTAAAAGAATTTACGTAAAACTGTCACCTTAATTTTTATTTCAAGATGAAAGGTTGAATTTCGACCATTTCATTTTATCTTCTCTCTTATCGGTCGCTACAGGGTGCAATCTTATGCGTAATAATGAAAATATTGAGAAGAATTTACAGGAGAAAGCCCTCACAAATCGCAATAAATTTTATTTAAAAGAAAAGTATACATTCCATTAGGCTCCATACATCCATCATGTTTCTTACTCCAATATTGAAGTTTAAGAAATCAAAACTTATAAGGTATTGACTCGTGCAGAAATGGATGTAGTGCTGCATTATTTTATTGGTACTACATTTTATTTAGGGACTGGATCATTTTGATACGCGAAATCTGGTAGTTGACATTTGATTTAATCTAAATTTGGATTTCGGATTTTGTATCCAATTGATTAAAAATCTGATAATCGTGTCCAGTTAACCTCGAAATTGGTGCACGAATTTTGCATTCATTTGAATCGGTTCTCTGGCTATGTTCGAGTTGGTGTTTTGACTTTCATAGTGAAGTTCAAACTTATGTGCAGACGAACAATATGAATTTTTTTTTAACAAATCACGTCATTAGACAAGTTTGATAGTGTTAAGAGAGTCCCAGTGAACCATGTGACATGTCTCAGCCCTGCAAAGGAGGAGTGTCGAGTGAATACCAATATTCCTCATACCCAATTATTGATTATTATTATCCATATTTTCATTGTCAAGAATAAATGTTAATTATTATGCCAAAATTGCAATGCTATCTGCATGCTTTGCATGTGTACAATCACTCGACAAATGGGGGAGTGTCGAGTGAATACCAATATTCCTCATACCCCAGTTATTGATTATTATTATCCATATTTTCATTGTCAAAAGTATTGAATAAATGTTAATTATTATGTCAAAATTGCAATGCTATCTGCATGCTTTGCATGTGTACAATCGGTAAATTTGATTTTAATTCTTCATGTGCACTCTCTTTCTCTCATTAATATTGTCAAGTGCAGTTACACTAACCCTAGAACAATTTCATTCACTGATATGATTTGTTGGAACACATTTCTCCATTGCATACCACTTTCTTTACAAAATCACAGTTTAACATATGTTTCGTTTCTTCATAGGTATTTGTCTTTGATCTGATTGCATGCTTATGGAAACAAACAAATCTTTCATCACCCAAGTGCTACATTTTAGGTTCTACTACTTCCGATTTACTTCCGAAGCTATTTATATCATACTTTTTCTTTAATCTCCCAAAAGGGTGGCTGTACTTATTATTCTATCACAATACTAAACTACTTAAGATTAGTAAATGCTCAAATTATTCAACCTTTGAAGGAAAAATCTTATATCGTGTCTTGTATTTGTATTCATCTATTTATTGATGACTTTCTAGTTCTCAATTAAATAAACTTTGATGAATTTATATGTTGCCAAAACCAAGTGGTATCAAAAGCCTATTTTCTTTATACAAGTATTCTGTGAAAAGAATATACACACTAGATTACTTAAAAATCTTCAACTTTCTTAGGCAAGATTATGTATTACATCATTTACTTATACTAATCTATTAATTCATAGTTCTTTATTATGTGAATAAGTAAATTTCTGATCAATTTATTTAATACTTGGAAGCAATTACCTATTATCTTTTATGCCTATGCCTTTTGTGTTTTCTATGCTAAAAGTAGACTATAGAATACATACTTTAGAAAGGAAAAAAGATATCTTTAATCATTCATTCTGAAACTCTAGATTATGATATAAAAATACTCGAGGTTAATTGAGAGTTCTTCACTTGAATCTTTTGACCTTAACTGAGAGGTTATATTTTTCACGTAGATTTGGCATTGAAAATTATTACATAAATTTGTGCATTTGCAAAACCAGATGAAAAGATGAAGAGAGAATTTTCTTTTTAAATAATAATCCTACTGGTGAAAATAAATAGTAAAAAAACTAACCAGAGTTTTTTATTCTAGGGAACCATGTTGCTCCACTCCATTAGAATCAATATGCAACCACTTTGCAAAGACTGAAACAATGTGAAGAAAACTATCCCCCAAGTCAAAGTGTGTACCATTACTAATCATTCACATTGGACACGCTAACATTACCTTCAAAATACCACAACCCATGCATTGCACGAGTAAAAAACTAGTTTTATTTAAAAGAAAAGTACACATTCTATTAAGCTCCATACATCCAACATGTTTCTTACTCCAATATTGAAGTTTAAGAAATCAAAACTAATAAAGTATTGACTCGTGCAAAAATGGATGCAGTACTGCATTATTTTATTGTTACTACATTTTATTTAGGGACTGGATCATTTTGATACGCGAAATCTGGTAGTTGACATTTGATTTAATCTAAATTTGGATTTCGGATTTTGTATCCAATTGATTAAAAATCTGATAATCGTGTCCAGTTAACCTCGAAATTGGTGCACGAAATTTACATTCATTTGAATCGGTTCTCTGGCTATGTTCGAGTTGGTGTTTTGGCTTTCATAGTGAAGTTCAAACTTATGTGCAGACGAACAATATGAATTTGTTTTTAACAAATCACGTCGTTAGACAAGTTTGATAGTTAAGAGAGTCCCAGTGAACCATGTGACATGTCTCAGCCATGCGAAGGGGAGCATCGAGTGAATACCAACCTGACATATAAGAAGAGCGTTAATTCATACTAGGGACCGCGAAAATAAACAAAATCAAGAAAGTATAGAAGACATTTATCGTTCTACAAAAAATGGTTAGGAGTCTATTAGTAACATTTGGGCACATAACTAGATGCAAGACCCAGGCTAGAAAATTCAGATCACTTGATTCTATAAAATAATCAAAGCAAACAATTGCACGAAAAAAGAAAATTTTGTCTTGAGTAATGCTATTTAATCCCACTGAAGTTATGGTGGCATTGATGTGACATTAAATGATAGGTCGAATTAAATAAGTCATTCAGATCACTTGATTCTTTGTACAACATATGATTTCAAGATTGGAAGTCTCGATATATAATGATAACAAACTAAGCAATGAATTTCACAAAAATATATTGCAACTATTTCAGAAACTTTTGTGTTTCATTTTTACTTGCATTGATTCTGCAAGTTAACAGTAGAAAGTTTCAAACGATTATAGTACACAACAGTTCATGATGTTGTGGCTTTTATCTAACAAGGATTCATCAAAATCTAACTGAGAACGATAACTATCCTAAAGGATGCAGAAGGTTCTCAAATGACATTAACAGCAGTAAAAAGCGGAATGAACATAAAAATTGTTGGTCGTAAAGAAGCACGTGGTTTTGGAACCACCTCAGTAAAGCAGCTCTTCAAAAACAGGATCCACATTTTCCCCCCACTTCTCATGGTACAATTCGAGGAGCTTTTCGGCTGATGTTACACCTACCACAAAGAACATTAAGTATCAAACAAAATTGTTTGAGGTGCCCAAAAAAAGAACTAAAGAAAAATAAGATACTCGAGCCAAATCTGCAATTCTAATAGTTGGACACTAATAAAGTAACTTGTATAATAATGAACTCATTTTCCGGAATAAGAATGAAGATCCCGAGAAGGTTTCGGAAGTAGAGATTCCGTATTATATAACAGTCACTTTTACAAAACTGTGGGACAAATATGATTCCAACAGTAAAACAAGATTTGACATGAGAAATAATGATTTTACTCTAATAACTTGTTTACCTGTCTGGTGGAACATTAATATCTCCATTTGTATTGAGAATAACAAGTGGGAGGATGAACTCATATATGTAATTTCAACTCAATAAACAAACAGAATATAAGTTTACCAATCTGAAACCTAAGAATCAATGGAGTACCTGTTCTAGACACCTCAGTGACTTCATTTAGAAATCCTGTTTCCTTAAAGCCTCTTCTTTCCAAGCCATCCTATGAAAAAAGATATATACATTTTCATTAAGAAAAAAAGAAAGAAAATTTGATATATCGATATATCTTTCGTAACAAATAGTGGTCACATCAAACCACTTCATGTGATTTATTCATTTTTTATATTTAGAAAAAGTAACTAGGAACTACAATAATGAAATATGTCACCTTCGCCAACTTCACAACGTCTTGTGTGACATGCTTCAGCAGGCCATCTCGAAATGGAGTCTGCAGACCATACTTTGGTACCTATTACATAGTTTTGAATTAATGGCGGCTTGAAAGCTATAAAAGGAAACTATGAAGGAAATACTCTTGTTTTATCGAGTTTGATGAGGTGAAACAGGGGTGTATTTCTGATGCATGTGGGAGTAAGACCAAGTATGTTTTACTCTATGAAAACCCCATTCTAATGTCATATGCTAAGATTTCCCCTTCTATGTAAAACTGAACATGCAAACATACACTGACATACACACGTATATAAACCTTATCATCTCTTTTGAGTGGGTAAACATCTCAATAGTTTAAGGATGAACAAAACATTCTAATCACTTTATTATTTTCAATAACAATGTAATCAGTCAATATGCAATCGATATTAATGACGTTAGGGTCTCTGGTCCTCAGACACCAAATTCTAAAAAGAAGCAGCTTCAATTATCTCAAAATTGGTGATGCTGAAGGATGACAACCGTGACAGTCACAGAAACAACAGGAATGAACAAAAATCGGATGGATAAACAAAAAAATCAATCAAAAATTAAAGTATAAATTACATAACATGATAGAAAGCTCGCACGAAATTTGTAATAGAATTACAAAAGGAAGAACATTCATGAAAGAAACTTATAAAATGGAGCAGATGTTGTGGTGAGGATCACAGCAGTAGTGGTATCCACCACTGTTCCAATGCTAATGCCATCTCTTCCTTCTGCAGCTTGTTAAAAATGCACCAATTCCACCTCTTTCACAGAATTTAGCAGCTAACAAGAGCTTAAGTGGTTTTGAAAAATGCTACCCTTTTTTTCTTTTCATTTTGATTTATTACTTTCTTTATTTGGTTACATTAATTTTATGCTTATTTCGAGTTTCATTGAAAAGCAAACAATATAATGGACATACTAATTACAAGGATATTCAAAATTCTGTTAGCATCCTTTTCCTACTTATCTACAGTAATAATAACACTGCATTTCTTAAATCTATTCATTGAGCAACAAAATGTGAAGAATAAGAATCGAAAACACATGGTTAAATTCTGCTCTCATAAACAGCAATATGCCAACAAATACACAATGTCCAATATATGCAATGTAGATCAATTAATTGAAGGCAACTTTTCATTGATCAGCCAATTGATATTTTACCGCATTCCTTAACATCTGTCTTTCTTCTCGAGTCCAATCAGCTGTCATGTCCACAACATTTTGCAAGGAGATTTCATCATACAAGAGACCTACCTGAAATGTCATGATTACACTATTATATTGAAAATGGAGCCAATTACTGATTGTTTCATGAAGACCCTTATGCCCTTTTCCCAATCCTTAGCTAAATTTATATACCAAAACAGTTCATGAGATAGAAATAAAATCATAACCAATCAAGAATCATGAATAAGAAAGATCAGTAAATGCTGATTATTGTATGTAATGATATGCTAGAGATGATCCCTGATCATCATCGCATCAACCCTTTCATTCATCTTTAATTTTTAACAAATAATTGTTCTCATTAGTCATTATGGACGCTAAATAAATAGAACGGTTATTTCAAACTTTCACTTTAAGCTGTTACTGAAATGTAGAACCATTTAACTAGACATCCCTGAATTCTTTTGTTCTCTAGTTTTGAAAATGCACCACATAAACCATTGCATGTTCCAGATGAACACGACAGATATTAAAGACAATACCCAAAATGCAGGCAGGGCACAAAGCCTCCTCCAAGGTCCTCCATCAGCACCTCTCATCTCCAAATATCTTTTAAGCCTGACCTGGAATAGGGTATGGAAACTCATCAATCTCTTCAAGATACATACCCCTTGTTTGGTTCCCTTTAAAATTTTAATACATTTTTCTCTCTCTTCTTTTTAACCATACATTCTTCAATAAAATAACTAAGTAAATCAAAAAAAAATTCCTTCTTTTTTAACCACACATTCTCCCAAAAACTACCATTCCAAAATATATTTTACCCAAATTTCTCATTATAATAGTTGTCAAACAAGGGCATAGTTAATCGAACACTTTCAGCCAATTAATCACGACTTAAGATGACAACCTCTGGAAATATTGTTGTCAGATGATTTTCCCAATCATTGAGGTTTGGATATTCACCAGGAAGACACGGAAGTTTACCAGCCATAAAATCCTGAGTAGCAGATTTAAACGAATGTAATTGTAGTCACGTATATAAACTAGTAAAATATATTGTAATAAAGTTGAGAATAGGTAAAAACCCGGAAAGACAATCCAGCACAATCAATATACTTTTTCTTCCGATATGCAAAGTACATTGGAACATCGAGAGCATAATCTACATATTGCTCAAACCTGTGCCAGAAAAATAATAAGCGTGCTTAAGCATGAAGTAATTCGTCAATAATCATTTTCAAAGGAAATGCAAAATTAGAACAAAATGGCTGCTTATTATATGACTGAAGAATTAATTCTATGTTATAACACCTTTCTAAAGAGAACGGAAAAAGTGAGGATGATAAAGAAGGTTTTTATAGTTTAGTATTATCGATTTTCCCACACGTCTGAATCAAGGAGAAGTAGGACTAGAACCTAATTATTTCAAATAGAAAATCTTATTTTAAATTAGTAAATTAGTACGAGATTTATTTCATAAGGCATGACAAATTCTTGACAACTGTAGAACACCCATTACATGACCAATTCTTTTTTGCGTCTTCATGGCCTCCATTACTTTTGAGACCTGAATCTTTCTTTTATAGTTGATATTTCTATTTACAATGAGACTACAGGGGGGATAAATCGTAAGTTAGAACTCTAGATGAGCACTTTCAGATCTAAAAGGTTTTAGATTATGTAGAATTAAGAATAAATACATGGAATGTCCTTGTGTTGATGGTTCGAATAAGAATAAAGCTAGAATTACTTTAGAGAATCATGTTGCCCCAAAAAGTAATTACTTTAGGTATTTTATGTTCAATAATTGATAAGGAAGAATGACATGATGAAGAAGTAATGTATAAGATCTGAATGACATGCAGAAGTGCTATAGGGATCCCATGTGACGGGAAGATACCATTTAAAAATTGGAAGGAATATCTATAGAGTTAAAAGGCAAGTTTTGTGAAACAGTTACTGGAACACCTATACTTTTTTTGGTACTGATTGTTGGGCTTTTAGGAGACAATATACTGATAAAGTGAATGTAGTGGAAATAGGTATGTTAAAATGGATATTTGATCGTACTAGATGGATAAAATGAGAAAGTACACTAAAAGTTGGAGGTAGAACTGATTTCATAATAAACTAGGAGAATGACATCTTTAGGCAGTTGGAGTGTGTTTCGGATAGATCTAAAGAAATTCTTATTCACAAATTGACGTGATCCTAATAGAAAAAGATTAGGAGAGGAAGAGGTGGAAAAAACTAACATGGTCAATATGGTTCCAAGGGTTTGATTTTATTGGATGTTTCAGTAGGTGTCACAATGGATCGAGAAGAATCTTGTAAAAGATTATGGTAGCTTACTCAAAATCTACTGTAAATAACACTTTAAAAAGTAGCTTTACCCAAAAGAATCATCAAAAACAAATGGAAGCATCCCAGAGCGGTTATTATCAGTATCAGTCCAAATTTGGCTGCCAAAGAAAAATAATTATTATGTAATCTTTGAAAAGGCTGAATTACAAGAAAGAATAATATCACATCTAATCAAATAGCATAAAAAATAGAACTTCGTAGATACTTAATTAAGGCAAACATATACGTACCTTCTCATGCTGAGATAACCATTTGGTTTCCCTTCAGTGAAAGGCGAGTTAGCAAACAATGCTGTGGCTACCTATTTTACTTACTAGTTAGATTCCACATAACTAACTGAATTTTGACCACGAGAAATCACTAACATACAGGCTGTAAGGCAAGACCAGCTCGAAACTTCTTTATCATATCAACTTCAGAGCTGAAATCCAGATTCACCTGTCAAATTTAAAGTTACAGAACACTGATGTTTGAAAATAAACATATAACAAAAGAGAAAGTCGACAATGTTTGTAAGAAGTTATGGTCATAACTTAAAGTAACTTCAATCATAATCTACCAAAAACAATCTTATTAGCCTTACCTGAACAGTGCATGTTCGGAACATCATATCAAGTCCAAGAGACCCAACTTTGGGCATGTAATTTCTCATAATCTCGTATCTTCCCTGAGCAAAATTATTTTGTCAGCATATCTGGCAGCTCATCAAATCCAATATTGGTGTATAATGTTCACATGAAAGAAAAAGTTAACGCACTGTAAAATTCCATGGACTAACAGAAAAAAAGTTTTTAATTATGCTGATACCTTATAAACCTTAACCTAAATAAGCATGTTGTGAAGGTCAATATGCAAATATAAGGTTTATTGGAAATGCAAAATCATCTTTCTATATCTCTCAAACTTTCCCATGGAAAACATCCATTAAATGGCAAGGCATTATCTTTGCATTTTCACTCCTTATTGAATGAAATGTGGACATTACGTAGCCAAGCACCTACTTGCTGCAAGTTAGGCAACAATGACAAAATGGTACCTCTACTTAAATATCCATCAAAATGCAAACTCAACATTTCATTGAAGGCATAAAAGTCTAACCTTTGGCATCACAGGTATATCTTTAAGAGCCCATTTTGGCTGGAATCCAATTCCCAAGAACCCAATCCCTAACTCCTCCGCAACAGCCTTAACCTGCATATTACACGTAAAAACAATGTTAAGCTATCCTTTTTGGAGTCTGTTGCAAGCAGCACAAAGAGTGTTGAGGCATTTTTATTTATTTATTTATTTTTTTTTTTTTTTTTTTTTTTGGTTAAGATTGGACAACTAAATAAAGAAGAGAAATTGGCACAATAAATCTATATCCATGGCACAAAAGGTTGTGTCTCACTCCATAAAGTTAAAAGTTCTGAGATATGGAAGATGTCATGCTTATTAATGCTATAAGCCTATAGCCTTTTAAACATAAAAGTATACTCGGTATCAACCTGGTAAAGATGCGAATTCACTTCAGCACAAGTTTGATGCAAAGTTTCAAGAGGTGCACCACTAAGCTCAAACTGGCCACCAGGCTCCAGTGATATGCTTTGCTTTCCCTGGCAATAGACAATGAAAATTGTCCATAAGAAGTAAATCAGGACTGAAAAAGGTGACTTCAATATTTTTTTAGTAGCGGTGTGCATTTGAGACAATAAAGACAATAATATTGATTTTAGATAAGTTACAAATTGAAGATAGAGACTACTGATAAGTATATAAGATGTGTTTAAGTATACGAGAAGTGTTGAACTATGTAAAGTCTAATCATACTATATCCCTTTAATGCAGATTGACCCTAATATTGAGATCAGTGGTATAATTTGGCATTCAACGCATGTATTAAGTCCCTCTAATATTTCTACACAAATAGAAAGGATTATGTAGGTCTGCCGTATTAAGATAGACACTGACAGTAAAGTGTAATATCATCATTTGATCCTGATTATTCTACATAGTGAAAATTTCAAGCTTCAAGAGGATGTAGCTCTCACATCGAGAGAGAAAAATCACTATAAATTTGGCTGTGTTTTTGCTCGTGCATGTTTCTGGTTTTGTTTTTGCTTAATATTTCTCTAATATTTAGGATAAGGTTTTAATTCTTAACAAGATGAACAAGAGATAAATAAGATAGTTATTGATAGCAACTGTGTAGCATCACCATTTGTACCCAATACCCATTTATGTCATACCAGAAATTGCCAAGATAAAATTAATACCTGTTTGAGTCCAATAATTTTGTCACCTTCCATTATTTTATCCCAATCAAATCGCTCAGAGATACCATTAAGAAGCTCAGCTATTTGTTCATACTTCATGGGTCGTAATGTTCTAAACTCAAATCCAAACTTTTCATGTTCAGTCCCTATCCTGCATGACCCAATGATTAAAAGATGGGAGTATTAAATATATCACCACTCTTCAATAAATGTCAACAACTTCTAACACACTCGTATAAACAACAATTAGCAAAGAACTGAATTCTATACAGGAAATACATTGCAAAGAATTAATTGATATAAACACAGAAAAGCTTTGATTGTCTTTAAGCCAGAAATATCAGATGCCAACAGAACAAGAACTGAATCCCAGCCTTCCATCTATTTGAGCTAAGTCAAGAACGAACATAGAAAGTCGTGGAGTCATAACATTGAAGAAAAAGGCATTAACATTATCAGACAGAGAGGGCGAGGTGTATTTTGAAGAAAAAGACTACTTATAAATATTTAAGCAATGTACAGTTAGAAAGTGTGTGGAGGTACTGAAATATGGAAATATTCTAGTACCTAATAGGAAAAAAATAAAAACCAAGTACCCCCTCCAAGACTATACTTATGATGTCAAATAACTAGAACACAAACATATCCTGTCCAAAAATTGAAAGAAGATACTAGATGTTTCATTCAGCATTACTGACAAGTCCAATGGTCAATCAACTGATAGCAATTGCAATGCAAAATTCTGAACAAAAAGCTTCTGAAATTGTTTGTTTTAACCGCAAAAATGGAACAATTTTTTCTTATGCATAAAACAGAGCAGAAGCTTTTGCACACACATAAATATCGAAAAAATAATTATAAGAAAAGATGCAACAAAAATCCAAGTACTGATAAGAGCTAGAAATTGGACCTCCATTTTTCCTTGGGCTTGCAACCAGACGCTAGGTAACCTACAAGATCTTCTTTCGTCAATGGCTCAGTAGCAATGACGGCATCTTCCGTAGGAGGACTTGCAAAAACAATTACTTGATTGCCTCTTCTCCCTCCTATAACAACACCATCTAAATTCATATTTCGAATCACCTTCAAGGAATTCCACGAAGATCGACCTGAACCAAAAAATTCCTTCTTCTTGGATTCTGCCATGTTACTGGCAATGCTACGAACCACATTATATCGAACTTTGCACTGTATTATTTTGTAATGAATGTATTGTGATGAACCAGCCTGGGACATCAGCACCATGCCTTAAAGCTGGGAGAAATCAAGCATACACAGGATTTAGGGAAGGGCCTTTGAGCTGAAAATTTAAGGCAAATTGGATTGATTCCAGCACATAATTAAGTTGCAAGATGATTGTTATGCGGCAAAGAATTCAAATTCAATGATAAAATATCAACAAAGTTATGTTCAGAGAAATTATGGTACAATACTACAGTACAGATTAGATGGAGCAATTAAATACTCTTGCCAAAATTCAGCCGAAAATCCATATGAGAACTGAAAAAACTTAAAATTCGTGAGGTTCCAATTTTCACATCCTTAAATTTATACTCTCGAGTACCAAATTAAGTTGATGATATGTAATATAAGGTCCATAACCATCAAAAAATTAAAATTTAGATATAATGTGAAGTATGAACCTCATTCAACCTTAAGAGTTTTAAAATTAATTCAAAGTTACACAAATTGATTATTCAAAATTATATACATCCAAATTTGTAAAGGTATTGAGATTACACAAAATCGACGAAATGTAAACTACAAGAGGACAGATTCAGAGAAGGAAGAAGAGAATTCAGATTTAGAGAAACAGAAAGAGATTCAAAAAATAAAGATAGAACAGAGATAAAGATTCCAAAGTGGCGGCTTCTGTTTTGCACCAAAGCTATCAATCTTTTCACTCCTTTTTTCTCCCTCCATGTGCTCAATTTATAGAGTAGGCTATAGAATATTCTAGAATGCAGTGAGTAGTGAAATGGCGAGTGGAGTGAGCCATGAAAAAATTTTGGTTAAATTTGCATAAGTACGGAACCTTTCCAGTTGTCATTTCACAAAGTAAAATGAAAATCCATTTCTTACAATAAAACCGAGGACACTGGTTTACAAACGATGAACTCGTCAAATTCATTTCAATTCATGTGAAGATTATAAAGAAAACAAAATAACTTAAAACCCATGTGCAAAAATAAAAAAATTTAGCATCAAAATCACACGAAAATGAAAGAAGAGACTAGATTACTCAGGAGAATGTGCTAAGAACTCAATCTTGAAGCAACCAATACAAGAACTACCTGTGGATTTTGTACCAGCAGAACGAGAATTCTAATTCTTTAATTTCCGGGGAATTCAGGAAGAGAGAAAGAGATACTGCGTGTGCGCGCGCGTGCGAGTGTGTAGGATTCCAGGGACCAGCAGGGTTCTCTTAAATACTCTCGAAAACATGTGGAAATTTAACTGGCACATATTTTTTAACTTTTCAATTCAAAATTAGAATTAAAAAATCTTTTATTTAAAAATACAGTTGTGCTATGTGTATAATCGGGGTTGATAATCCCGATTGACAATTAGACACATGGGAGGGAGGCCCATGCGAAATAAAAAAATCGTATAATCCCCCTCCCGTGAATATATTGTCAATCGGGGTTGTCCAAGAAGAATAATTCTTAAAAATAAGGTGATACTTCAAATTTTGAATATTAATAATAATATTTAAAATTAATTTAATTTATATACCAACTCCACTCCCACCCGATTTTCACTCTCAAACCAGTTCTCCTGTCTCTATCTATCGTCTCCTTTCTCTCTTCTCTATCTCCTCTCCCTCCATTGACGCTACTCCATGATGGAGAGCGTAGCTCAACAACGACAACTAGCCCCCGTTTGGCCCCATTCTTATTCTCATTATTTTTTTCTCTTATTTTCAACCACACAATATTCCATGAAATAATATTATACACAAATCAAAAACTTTTCATTTTTTTTCAATTACACATTTTTCAAAAAAACAATATTCCAACAATTAAAATTTGGAAACAATGGGGGCCAAACATGATACTAATAAGTTGTGATCAATTAATTTATCAATTTGTGACCGAGAAAAAAGTTGTAACCAATTAATTTGATAATTTGTAACGTAAAATAAGTTGTACTCAATTAATATATTAATTTGTGATTGAGAAATAAGTTCTGATTTATAAAATTCGTAGTCGAGAAATAATATGTGACATATTAATTTGATAATTTATTATCGATAAATACATCGTGAAAAATAAAATTTGTGATTTTTTATCAGAAAAAATGTGTTGCTTATTAATTTGATAATTTTTTATCGATAAATAAATTAAGATTTACAAAATTTGTGATTTGTGATCTAGAAATAATGTGTAATCAATTAATTTGATAATTTGTGACCAATAATGAGTTGTGATTGATGAAATTTGTGATTGTTACATTTTCTAATTGTGATGTGATTAGTAAATAATTGTGACCATAAATTATATAGTATTGTGACAATAATATATTTAATTAATAAAACATTTTTATTATCTATTTTAATTAATAAATTTTAACTATGACCTATTTTTTAAGTTTTAAAACACGTTTGTTAATTTTAAAATGAATAATATTATTTATAATGAAAATTATCGATTGTTGTCATACATGACATACAAATAATAGTTTGATATTTGATAAATCAGGCAATAAAATATTATCACATTTATTCATCGAATAACAAATTATCATATATATGTCATGCAGATCGACTTCGGTAATCTTCACTATAAATAAATTACTCGAAATTTAAAAAAAATTGTATCTTCTAATCACCTTAAATGTGTAATGTTCCCTAATAATAATGTGTTTTCCATTTCAACCTTCCAAGGAACTATTTTAAAACGCTACTTTCCAAATATTTTATTAAAATAGTGATTTTCACACTTAAATAATAGGCAAACATATATTTTTAATATTAATATATATCGTGTTTTAAATCTTACATAAATTAGGCCTCATTGAATTCGGATCCTAATGTTGTTACTAATTGTAACAAATTTAATCTTCTAATTATTTGGGGATTTCATTTTCAATCCCAACTTTCGTACTTCTTAATAAACAATTTTTCCTCTCTCAATCCCAACCTTGAGGGCCCCCACGACTCCGCCCCTAGAGTTTTGTGAGAGAGGTAAATCGCGGGATGTGCCCCAACAGGTCAGGGAACAAGAGTTGCATGTATACTGCGCTTACAAGGAGTCCAATTCCATGTCTCAGAAATCGAACCCTCACACTGCAGTTGACAGCAAGGTATGAGATAACATCACTCTTGTCCTTGCACCACTGAACTATGCTTTGGGGTTCAACCTCCGCTCTCTTTTTTCATTGCATTCCCTAGGCATAATCCTAGACCAAAAAGAAGGCAAAAGAATGGTTGTGATAGCATCCTAGAAAAGCAACAACTTCGTGTCATATCTTTCAATTATAATTGAAAAATATCCGAGGTACTATATTTTTATTTATGCATTGTTTGAATGCTAATTTCCTTGTAAGTTTCACAAAAAAGGATAAATTGAAGGAATATTTGGAAATTATCGAATATAAACATGGACTAGAATGAAATCTAATTCAAAATAAGATTCTGTATTACGAATAGATGTATAACAATCTTCTCTAAACGATAGTTTGTATTAATTGTGACCACTTTGGTCAGATGATTGTATACTCTTTTACGATGAACAATAATGTTATAACTTTTAAAAAGAAAGAAAAAATAAAGTTACATGTGGATGACGTTATTTACAGAATTTTGTCGTACTTAATATTGTGTGCAGTAACTGGTTTATGAGGATTCATATGCTTTAGCCAAAAAATAAATAAATAAATAAAGAAAAAATAGAGGAGGGATGATTTAGATACTATAATACAATATTTAAAAAATAAAAAGGAAAGACAACTGTAGTTTTTTATTGAATTATTCCATACTAATTAATTTAACATACGTGATAAAGCATTACATTCTTCTGCCAGTGCGAACTGGCTTATAAAAATCTAACTTTAATCATTACATTCAAGTAACCACTAAAATAACAGTAAGTTGCCTTGGTATTAGAAGCAAAATAGAAATAGAAATCTTCTTGAATTAGTGCTATAGCGAGTTATTCGGGCCTATAGTGTGCAGCTGCCCGGCTTTTGGAGCCTCACTTATCTTACGTCGACTGGCTGTCTTTTTGATATAAACATAAAGCATTTTCCCAAAAATTCAAATCGAAGCAATTGAATGTCAAAACTTTATTTTTCTTTAAGAGCCTATTTGTGAGTGATTTTCAAAATTGATTTTTTGACCGTTAGGAGAAAAGTGAGATCCACCTGTGAGAAAAGAAATCAAATATGACGACTGGAATAGTGAAATAACGGTAAAAAAATCAATTATTTGGAGGAAAAAATCACTCCCATAGAGACTCTAAGTCTCTTTAATCCGAGTTTACTCCCTAGACGATACATTAACGGGTTTATTACAACATTTTTACGAAACATGTACAATCTCAGTTTATGGTTAGTATTCTTGGAGCATTTAATCTCATTTCCTCCCATAATTTTCATCTCCCTGTAACAATGTTGATCCAAGAAAGTGTTGGAAAAATAATTAGTTGCAGCAGTGATCAGAACAATATAATGCAGAAATATAAAACTTATCGATCGAGTCTCGTGACAGCACGATGTCCTAAAGTGAAATTGCCCGTCAATAATTGCTGTGACCTCCGTGGACAATCACTCCCAGGATACAACGATCGTAAACCACTTATGCAGCAATCACGAATGGTTTTTCTAGAACTCTCAATTGTACTCCAGAATAGGTATAAAAACCCGAATATAAGAAGTTCACAATATGAAAAGAGTGATTGATTCTATTTTCTTTTTGTGTGTCTTTTCCCAAAGCAAGACATGGGTTTATATAGGCAAGATGGTAGTAACAGTCTTCACCATGTTAATGCAGAATTTTAATGACTGAGTAGTGGGTGTTTTAATGGCAGTTAGTGGGTTGTTACAAAACCAACAGTCATAAAATACTGGCTAGTTTTACCAATTAAATAACCAAAAAAAAAAATATTTATTTTAGTCAAGGAAGCCCAAG